TGTCAAAGAGGCTGTCTTTCTCCATTGTATATTCTTACCTCCTATGTTATAGACAAAACAGGTGTTACTGAGGATGTGGAGAAAAAAGGAATCCTATACACTGTTGGTGAGAATGTAAACTGGTGCAACCACTGTTTCCTCAAAAAACTAAAATTAGAAATACAATATGATCCAGTCATTCCACTGCTGAGTATTTACCCAAAGAAAATGAAAACACTAATTCAAAAAGATATGTACACCCTTACGTTTATTCCAGCATTATTTACAATAGCCAAGATATAGCAATTCAAGTGTCAATCCATGATGAATGGATAAAGAAGATGTGTTATACCAACAATGGGCTATTACTCAGTCATAGAAGAGAATGAAATTTTGCCATTTGTAACAACATAGATGGACCTGGGACATATTAAGCTAAGTAAAATAAGTCAGACAGAGAAAGACAAACACCATCTGATTTCACTTCAGTGTGGGACTTAAAAACAAAACAAGCAAGCAAGCAAATAAACAAATAAACCAGACCCATAAATGCAGAGAACAACTGGTGATTACCAGAGGGGAAGGAGGGCTGGAGATGGATAAAGGGGATGAAGAGGGACAAACGTCCAGCTATAAAGTAATTAAGTCACAGGGACAAAAAGCACAGCGTAGGGAATACAGATACAGTGAAAATTTTGTATGGTGACAGAGGGCAACTACACTTCCTGGCTGTAAGCACAGTGTAACGTTTAGAATTGTCGAATCACATGTTGCACGCATGAAATTAATAAAACATTGCACGTCAACTACACTTCAATTAAAAAAGTGTGATTTAAAACAATTATTGGACCCTATATGTGGTGAGGTTATTTCCGTGCTATTATAGTCCATTGGCCTATTCTCTGTCTGTCTTTATGCCAGTAAACACTGTTTTAATTGAAATCAGAAATAGGAGACCTCCAAATCTGCCCTTTCTTTCCAAGATTGTTTTGACTATTTGAAATCCTTTGAGATTCCATATAAAATTTATCATGAATTTTTCTACATCTGCAAAGAAATGCCATTGGGATTTTGATCAGGACTGCGTTGAATCTGTAGGTCACTTGAGTTAGTAGTGATACCTTAACATATTAGGTCTTCCTGTCCATGAAAACAGGATGACTATCTGTGTATTTGTGTCTTCCTTCCTTCATTCCATTCAGTCAGTATTTGTAGTTTTCAATGTACAAGTCTTTTGCCAACTTGGTTAAGTTTATTCCTAAGTATTTCACATGTTTGAAGTCATTGTAACTCATGGTTCTTGAGATCAAGCCCTGCGTTGGGCTCTGCACTGACAGCGTGAAACCCACATGAGATTCTCCCACTATCTCTGTCTCCCTCTGTCTGCCCCTTCCCCTACTAGTGTGCTGTCTCTCGCTCCCAAAATAAATACAGAAAATATTTTTTTAATGCAAGAGATAACCAATGCTGGTGAAGATATGGAAAAGAAGAGAACCCTCATGCACTGTTGGCAAGAATGCAAACAAGTGATCCACTTTGGAAAACAGATCGGAAGTTCCTTAAAAAGTTAAAAATGGAACTACTATATGATCCAGCAATCCCACTTTGGCATATACATCCAAAATTATTAATGGGATATCAAAGAGATATACTTGCACCTCTTTGTGAATGCAGACCCATTCATAGTACCTAAGGTAAGAAACAACTTAAGTGTCCATCAGTGGGTGCATGGATGAAGAAAATGTGGTATAAATACATAATAGAATTTTTATCAACCATGAGAAAGAAGGAAATCTTGCTCTTTGCAACATATAAAGGTAACAAATCAACACACATGCCCTAAAAGTACAAAGAGCTACATGTCAATTATATCTCATTGAGGCTGAAAGACAACCCAGGGACAAGAGGGCAAGCAGTGCTGGGCCCAGTGCCGGTCGCTTAAGTAGAGAGAGAAGCTCTCCGCCATTGCCACCCAGCTTGACACCATAAGACTGAATCCTAGGAAGAAGGCCCAAGTATCCGAGAAGGGACTGTTATAAAATACACACTAACAGGGGCGCCTGGGTGGCTTAGTCGGTTAAGCGTCCCACTTTCGCTTAGGTCATGATCTCGCAGTTCGTGGGTTCGAGCCCCATGTCGGGCTCTATGCTGACTGCCAGCTCAGAGCCTGGAGCCTATTTCAGAGTCTGTGTCTCCCTCTCTCTCTGACCCTCCCCTGCTCATGCTGTCTCTCTCTCTCTCTCCTAGAAATAAATAAAACATTAAAAAATATATAAAATAAAATAAAATACACACTAACAAAGCTCAAAACTAATCCCTGACTTGACTCAGAGTTTGAGTTCTGAAAATCAGACGGATGAGGTAAACATCAGGGAATTTACGCAAATCACTTCAATAAAGCCAGAGCCAATCTCTGACATGATACATAGAAAGTTGGTTAGAGATTTCATAAGAAGAGAAGAAGCTTGGGGAAGATCTTGGCAAAATTTTCAGAAGTCATAACAATGCTAGAAGCACACTTAATTAAAGCTTCAAATTACAAAGCAAAACCTAACAGCGCTAATATAGTGCAAGATAAATCAGATAGATATTTAAGCCTCTAATGTAATATGTGATAGAAGAACATCAGAAAGATACTGAAAAATGTATCCTCAAATTCAACCAGTATGATCTAATTTTCATTTAAAGGATGCCATAAAAACAACTGAATCCTCCACATTCTCTTCATGTGCACATGGAATGCTCACCAAAGTAAGTATATGCATGGACTTACATTCGTCTCAGTGAAATTCACATCTGAAATCTTAGAGTGTATTTAATGACCACTACCATTAAAAGTTAACAGTATGATATCTAGGGGTGTCTGTGTGGCTCAGCTGGTTAAGCGTCCAACTTTGGCTCAGGTCACAATCTTGTGGTTCGTGGGTTTGAGCCGCACTTCAGGTTCTGTGCTGATAGCTCAGAGCCTGGAGCCTGTTTCAGATTCTGTATCTCCCCCTCTCTCTGTCCCTCCCGTGCTCCCTCCGACTCTGTCTCTCTCTGTCTCAAAAATAAATAAACATTAAAAAAATTTTTAAATACGATATCTAGAAAAGGTACAACTTTCCTAAAGTTACATAATGTAACAAATCTTAAAATAAGCCATTTATTAATACATGCCAAGGATTATGAAAGACAATACAATCAGACTCCATAACACCTAGGGAGTAAGACCAGTAGTCCTGACTGGAAAAAAAAAAAGTTACTTTAAGTGTTTTAATTTAAACGAGAGAGTACTAATATGGTTCATATAAATTTATACCTTCTAGCACTAGGAAAAAATGGAACAAGCAAACAATAAATGGTACTTAGAAATAACAGAGCTATATGAAGAGATCAATGCATGAATTGATTTTGTATATTGTTAAATGCAGCTAAACAGACAAAATGAGAGTAAAAAGCAAACAAACAGTAAAATAGAACGCCCCCCCAAAAAAACCCCAGAATTTTAATATAGCCAAGGGTAGGTTCTTAGAGAATATAAATTCAGGTGGCTGATAACTTGGTAAATGGGTGAATCAAGTTGGCTGGCTCAGGCTCACACAGTAATAGGGTGTATTCTGGCCCTGTAGGAATGGGCGGTTTTGATTGGATTACATCCAACACATCCTCCCCTCCCATGTTCTTCTCTGAGATACAATGCTTACCTTGTATCTTTAACCCAAGATTGAATATGGAATTTTAAGGACCTTCCTGTGACTTCTTGGTGCAGGTGCTCTTCCATCTGCTCGAACTCAGCTCCATAGGAAACATCTCCTAACAGTGAGACCTACTTTAGGACATCAACTTCGTGGTGACTCTTGACTGAGGATCTTCAGTCATCTTCTAAAATAGTACTAGAGACCAAGGCTAGAGATGACAGCAGGCCCACAAGGGTTTTCCAGACTTTCTCCCCATATTAAGCGTTCTCTCCTTTCCTAGGTGGCTCTTCTCATTACAACAACGGAGACCTGCAAATTCGGGAACACTGATATTTTTGCAGGCGGAGGCCCAGGTCAATCACTTTTGTCTCTATCTCTATAATGGCCCAAGTCACTGATGTTTGACTGCTGATTAAGAGTCAGGGAAAAGGCACATTTGTTTTTGGTTTCTTTGGTTCATCTTCTGCAATCCTACTGCACTCATGGATGTCGGAGCTTTGTCCTGATTCCCTGTTGTGTGGGCCAGTGATGTGTGTGTTCTTTGCTGGAGAAGCATCAGAGGGCATCACTCCACATAAGGTAGTTTCCAGTACCCAGAGAAGAAAACCTCCTGAGTTGTGGATATTCCTGTCCTCTGCCTCCTAATGTCTGGTTGGGGACCCGCTGATCTCCCTAAAGTCCCTCCACTGTTTATCTGAGGAGAGCTCAATGCAGCCACATAAGCAACACTTAGGTCTGGAATAAAGAATTGTGACAATCCACTGGTGCCTTGGGGACTCCTACCAGACACCCCCCTTCATTCTCCCTGACTCATTCATTGATTGCAGATGTTTTCCAGACACAGACTCCAACTCTCTTCTCCACTAATCTTGTCCCAGTTTCCTCAAGCAGTTTTCTTCTCCCTTCACATGCGCTGCTTTTGGGACCCCTTTACATTTCACCGACTCTGCCTTCTTGCAAGTCACACGTTGTATAATCATCATACAGATACTGCCCAATTCCATTTAGTTGACCTCTCAGGGTTACAATTCTCCAAATTGTACCCACTGTCCTATACGGACCACAACATTGCAGACAATGTTTTTTATTAGGCTCTCCACTCTTCTAGAAGCTTCCTGATCTGCCAGGATTTGATGATTCATCGCTGTGAGGAGATGAACCCTTTAGTCACTTCGGTTTATTTGGAAATAGTTTCCCCGCGATCTCCTCCCGCCTGGGGTGCTATGTGAGCAGGGAAGGAGGAAGTTGTGGGTCGGTGACTCACTCATCCTCCTTGATATTTGAGCTTCACTTAATGGGCTCCCGTGTCTACTGGCCAACACTGATGTCTGCTGGATAAGAAAGTTCTATGTTGAAACTCCTCTCGGACATTCTTAAAAAATAAAATAAAATAAAAAAGTGATAATTTAACTCTAATGTTTGATGGTCACTGAAATGTTCAAGAGAAAGCTTCTCTGACTCTTCGTCTCTCACTAAGAAAAGCCAAAGGTAAAGACATGGATGGGAGGAGTGTCAGGAAAAGTTTCCTAAAAAGGACATCATAGGGCGGGCTCCTGACGCTCACCAATGGCAATTCCTCACGTAATCTTGGACGTAGTTCATCTATAAAGCATTTCTGGTGGCCGAATCCTGCAGTTCAGTTTGTGAGAGCTTTGCTGTTACATCTTCCGACTCAAACCAAACCTACATCGATCGCTGTATTTCCGAAGGAGATCTCAATAGCTGGACGACTGCGGAGAATTCTCAGTGAGGTGAGTCTGGTCAGAACTTTTCTGGAGGAGGTCCCGGTAGCTGGTTGATACCACAAGGTGCAGAGGAAGGGTGAATATCTGAATCTTTTGTGTAGCGGGCTGGGGAGCGGGGCTGCCAGCAGCTGTATTCTGAAAACTGAAAACCATAGTGGCTGTTTCTAATCCTTCTCTGACATGGGAAGATGACAGACATCTTTCATCCCATCGAACTGAAGCCTGAACAAAAAGAAGTGCATGTTGACAGTTGCAGATTCTAAAATTCGTTCTGCGGGTGTTTGTAACAGGAGTTACTATTCGGAAGACGGCATTGGATTTCTTGCCTGGAAGTTTGGTGGCTGCGGTGGGGGCTGGGGTAGGAGACACAATACAGGGCTAGAGTGGGAAAAAAGTAGTATGCGATGATCTTCAATAGAAAACATGTATGGACATGTTTCATAAAACATGAGAACACACACACACACACAGCAGAACATCTCTCCAGTTCGCAAGGGCCCTCGCGGGGGTACAAGGCACCTTAGCATTTTCCTACCTTTCCTAGCTCCTTGCCACTTCCGGGGGCGGGGCTGCATTCCAGCCCCTTCCTATCCTTCCTCAAAGGCTCAGCAAATGGGGTGGCACAGTTTGGAAAAAAGACATGGTTGGAGACAAATCTGGAGCCACATTTTGGAATGCTTGAGTCTCTCTGTAGAGCTTGGTACTCAAACATTTCATGTGCTTCTGAGAGAAATGCTATATTTCAAATATTTAGAACTTTCTAAATATTACGTCAAAATTTACTTAAGCTGAATGCTGATGGTCAATTTCTCTGGCTTTTTTACTTGCTTTTTTTCAGTAGTTCACACATGGGAGAATCAATCTATGATCATGATTTTGTCCATTTTTCCCTGTGATTCTCTCAGTTGTTAACATATGTATGAATATATAGTGAGAGAGAGGGAAATACGCTTATGTCATAATCTATTCATAACAATGCAGATAATGTAAACTAATAATAAATAATGTATACCTATAACTATTAGGCAAATATGTAATTAAACTGTTGCATCTTCCCGGAGTTTAAAACTTTTATCATTGGTCCATGAAGCCCCAGTGCAGATTCAAGTCTTTGTCTTTTTTTTTTTTTTAACGTTGTTTATTTTTGAGAGAGAGACACACACACACAAAGTGTAAGCAGGGGAGGGTCAGAGAGAGAGAGGGAGACACAAAATCCGAAACAGGCTCCAGGCTCTGAGCTGTCAGCACAGAGCCTGACACAGGCTCAAACCCATGAACTGTGAGATCATGACCTGAGCTGAAGTTGGCCGCTTAGCTGACTGAGCTACCAACGCGCCCCTCAAGTCTTTGTCTTAAGGTCTATCTAAAGCTACTTGAACACAGATTCTTAGATTTATGTTTGCATGTACAACAATTTGTTAAAACTTTTAGTTACCTTTTGTCAACAACAGAGATAGATTTTAATCCACTCTTGAAATTTTGTCTTTTAATGGGTTTGTCACTTTATGTACGTTAGGTGAAATATTCCATTTTTACTAATTCATAACACTTCTCTGTAGTGCTTGTACTATGCTGTCTTCTTCTTCACCAATAGTTTTGTTGTTGTTTTTTTAATGTTTATTTATTTTTGAGAGACAGAGAGAATGTGAACAGGGAAGGGGCAGAGAGAGAGGGAGACACAGAATCCAAAGCAGGCTCCAGGCTCCGAGCTGTTAGCACAGAGCCTGACGTGGGGCTGGAACTCACAGACCGAGAGATGATGACCTGAGCCGAAGTCGGATGCTCAACTGACTGAGCCCCCCAGGCGCCCCTCAACAATAGTTTTAAATCAATGTCTCTGACTCCTCTTTAAGGGCAAGCAGCTCACTGAACAGACACCATCTCTCTTTCCTCTATTCACCCCACTGTGTTGATCTACTTCCTGTTTTTTCTCTTCAGTCGGGGCTTTACTGATTTTTACAACTTTAAAAGATTCAACCAGGATTTTGTTCTCTCTTCCTTTTTAGTCTGCAGCATGTTTTTATGTTAACTTCCTTTAATTTCTTGGGGAATATTATTTCCAAATGAGTGCTTGTTAGATGTCTTAGTGTTGCAAATCTCATTGTGCATCATGTTGGTCAATGTCAGAGATTCATCTATAGGCCATCACATTTAAAAGGCATTTTCAGTTTGCTACAAAATTCTTGTTTTAAAACCATCTTTTCTTCAATATCTGTTGACAGCCTCCCTCTCAGACCTTTGGGCTCACATATGTTTTGGAATCCAGAATTTGAGTGACCTAGGAAAGGCTAGCGAATGCACACACTATCTATCATGTACTATGTTGATGGTCTCATAAGATCTGAGTTCCGTCTCTCAGCTCACACGCAGTCATATTTGTGTACCAAGACATATGAGCACTGGCACTAATGTGGGTTTCTAAAAATATGTACACAGGCTCCTGAGACTTCACATCAGATATTTTCCTAATAAGTTTTGTCACCTAACTAACACACATGCGCATGCACACGTGTACACACACACACACACACACACACACACACACACACACACCCCGTTTGGATTCACTTTTTTGGGAGATTTCAAAACCACAGATACAGGATTTGGGTGGAATGCCATACAAAGGTACTGCAGTGCAGTTTTGCTCTTGAAAATATGATTCTGAAGCTTTGTAAGTGATCTGTACTTTTTCCCTGAAAAATCAAACTTTCCTGACTGTTTTAGATATTTTTGGATGTCTCATCATTATGTCCTGCCTGACATGTGTTTTTCCTTGACTCTTTTTTGGCACTCTGTTGGCCAATCCCTTTGAAGATGTTCATATTATTTTAATTCCAAGAAGTTTATCACATTATTTCTTCAAATATTTTCTCTTTTTCATTTTACATTTCAATTTTTTTTATACCACTGACAGCATGTGAACATTGGCAGTCTGAACTATGCCCAGACATGTCTGACTTTCATTATCCATTTGCTATTTCTAAATCTGTGCTGTCAAAGAAATATTTGAATCTATCCCTTATTAGTTCAAGGCAATGCTCTTGTCATCCACAATTCTGGGCATGTCTCTGGCTCAGGATCGTGCTTAAATTGAGAAAGGCTCTTCTGTTGAACTGAGGATGTTTGGACTCTCATCCCACTGTCTGCTACCTTATACTTTTACTACCTAAGCTCTCAGTTCATTAGCCTTTCCTTTCTGTTAGGCAACTCCTTTCCAGACTGACCCCAGCTGCAAATATCTCTGAGGGCTGTTGTGGCGCCAATGTTATAACTGAGGTGTCACTCATGGGTCAATGACCTGGTATTTCCTGCTCAAACTTCTATGTTTGTTCTCCTATTTCTGTCCAATACAGAACCCGACTATGCAAGCCCAAAGTCAAGTGGCTCCTAGAAGACCTGCCCTTCAAAAGGACCCCATGACGGTGATGGTACTGAAGGCAACAGACCCAATTGAATATGGATCCCCAGGACAGAGAAAAACAAAAGTGTTTCTTGCTACAGTGGCTACTTCCAATCAAGTGTTCCAAGTGAAGGTTTTAAACTTCAAGCTGAAGAAGGCATTCAAAGAAAAGAATGTCATTATTCTGTCACAATACATTCGATACAAAAATGTCCTGGAGATAAATCAAAGGTCAAGTGTGCTAAAAGCTCCTGAAAACCAGACGATTGAGGTCCCAGAAAGGATCTGGATAAGAGCACAAAACCCTCCCAAGATTATAGCTCTTCGCCAGGAAAATTCAGATAATCTTCCAACAATAGTGTCTGGATTGTTTCGCTTAAAAAAGGTAGTCCCTTAACATTAGTTTTCATTTTCTGTACCTACACCTGAAATAAACTGTTTTCACTAGCCAGGGACAAGTGTATGCCCCTGTGTGTACTGACTGAGGGGTGATCCCAGTTCCCAGGCCTGTCTCTTGACCACAGGTAGGTGGTCAAGAGTGCCACACAACAGGAAATGGGACCAGTGACCCATTAGTCTTGTACTCAAGATAACTTCATGCAAGTTCTTTGAAAAAGGGTCACTAGAAATCTTGTCATGTCACCAGTAATGATTATTTTCAGCCTCCATGAGCAGGATATGAATCAATAAGCACATGCTTATATCTGAGCTCCTCTAAGACTGTATAAATCTTTTTATTTTAAATCTTTGAATAATGTGTTGCCCTCACAAAGATTCATTCTGGTTGGGACATATGTTCAGAGTAATAAATATATAGGCTTATGTGCTCCTGAATATGAATACCTTTAACACGTAGGCAAATGATAGACACATGCAAGGCTGTCTTCTCTAGCCTATTTATTTAAAACATCGTTTAAATTGTTTGTTGAAGACTAAAGTTTCACCTTGCATGATATGTGGAAGACATGGCAATCTTTTCTTTTTCTTTTTTTTCTTAAATAGTTTATTGTCAAGTTGATTTCCATACAACACCTAATGCTCATCCCAATAAGTGCCCTCCTCCATGCCCATCACCCCCTTCCCCTCCCCCCATCAGCCCTCAGTTTGTTCTCAGCATTCAAGAGTCTCTCATGGTTTGCCTCCCTCCCTCTCCCCAACTATTATTCCCCTTCTCCTCCTCCATGGTCCTCCTTTAAGTTCCTCCTAATCCACCTACATGTGCAAACATATGGTATCTGTCCTTCTCTGCCTGACTTCTCTCACTCAGCATAACACCCTCAAGTTCCATCCATGTTGCTACAAATGGTCAGATTTCATTCTTTCTCATTGCCATGTAGTATTTCATTGTACGGACATGGCAATCCAATCCCATTGTATCCCCCCAAAAGGGGATGGGTGCATTAGAGAATTTTACTGATATGTCATGTCCAAATTCAGGTTATTAGTTAGTATGATGCATTCAGTTCTTCCCAGAATTCACAAACTTTCATGAACTTATCTGGTATCTTGTAAGATTGACTGCTTCCTAATTGTATACATCTGTCTTCTGGGAGAGTCCCTTACGTTACCTACATTACTTTCCTACTCTGTCTTTAAGGGAAATGCATTTATAGAATGGATGAATTACAACCTAAGAAAGTGGGACTCTGTAGTGTGTGAAGTGCAAGATCCAGGTCAATGGAGATAAAACTTGGAGAAGGTTGCAAAAAGAAGTAGTGAGTTACTGGAACCTTACTTGTTTTGTTGATTCTTTATAATCTACTGAATAAAGAGTTGTAGTCATGTCCATTCTTTTCTGCAAAAGGACAGGAGGTAAAGGAGTTCATCAAAGCCCTTGGATTCCTCTGACTCCAGTGTTTGAAGGAATCAATGCTTCCCTTGTGGTGAAGCAGTAGGAAGTAGGAAGAAAACTCATTGTTCTAGAATTGCCAGATAGAAAATATCTAGAATGAGAACGGGGGAAACTATAAAATCAGGATCATAAACAGAAAGTTCTCGGAGAAGACATTGCCAAAGCTGTACGTGTATCTGTTCCTCTAATTGCTTTCTTATGTCTTGTATGTACTGTGTCACCAGGCTCTTCCTCCAAATATGAACATTATGATGTTTTCAGAAACAGGATGTTCAATTTCTGTTACAGAAAAAAGATAGAAAGAAGACGACAGCCTATGTAATAGAAGATGATACAGGAACGATGGAGGTCGTGGGGAGTGAAATATGCTACGGCATCAGGTGTGAGGAAGGAGACATACTTCGACTCTTCTGCTTTTATCTGAAAAAAATCAAGGAAGACCTGAAACTGATAAGTGGAAAGTACAGCGTCCTTGAGGTGAGACCTTGGTAGAAGAGCATTAGTTTGTCAAAAAGGCAAATCATTTTGTCTAGGATTTGAGAGCACCAAATTCCTGTTTTCTTACACATGGAGCACAGCAGGTGGGAGGAGAACAGAATCATGCCTTGCATTCGCTTTTAAGTGAAGGAGTCTTAAAAGGCTGTGAGGAAATGACATTCACATAGATTTCAAAAGGATATAATATTTACGTGAAACAAGAAAATATTTGAAGAAATTAGGAAAGCAGGAAAGAAAGTAATTTCTCATAATGGTTGAGAGCAAGGCTTTGAGTAGGACAGCTGTGATTTGAATCCTGGCTTCAGCTCTCACTGCTTGCCTGATATCGGGGATCTGTCTTGACTGGACCTCTGAAATGGTCAAAGTCTCTACCTCATAGGGCGGATGGAAGACTGTGCCTGGCTAAGTGAGAACGTGCATATACGTTTCTAAATGCCCAGCAGAAAAAGGAAACCAATCTGCCATAGGTACTACTTTTCTTAGCAAAGAGGACATAGGGAAGAGTTCTAGGCAGAGGAAAAGATTACGCATTTCTTCAAAAGTGTAAGAGACAACACGACTTCTGTACAACCAAAATGAGATAGGTGTTGACACAGTGGGAAGATGAGGCCAGAGAGTTACACACAGGAGTCAGCCAGGCAGGTAGCATAGCCTTGTTTCAGAAATAAATGGAAAAATCCCTGTGAAAATAAGTAGCAACTTGAAACATTGCTGATGGAGCAGAAGAATGCTTGATCTCTGAGATTTCAGCAAAACTTATTGTAACTATCTGGAGAGATGCACTAGGGAGAGAGGCGAGGTTCACAGACAAGGATATCAGAGCAGAAGCAACAGCATTCGGCAGTTAGAGGTCCTACTTAACATCATGCTGCCCGAGAGAAATCTTAAGGTGAAAACATGTATATTAATACTAATAAGAAGGCTCTTAACTGAGCATTTCTTGTGTCCTGAGAACTGAAACAGGGATGCAGACATGGTCATTATTCCCATTTCATTGATAGTCATAGTGATTATCATCATCAGAGAAAGGTAGGCCCTTGCCCTGACACTGCCTGTCCATGTGGGTCCGCAATTCCTACACTGGCCCAGGTGCTTGAGTTCCAGAGTCAGATTCATAGGTATGATCAGTGAGTAGCCCAGACACATAAGGGTGAAGCTTTGAGAAGGACTGATTCTTGAGAAATACTTCACACCCAAGAAGGAAAACAAGTGAGCACAGGGGTCAAAGGGAAAATGGAACATGCATCCAATAAGCATCACAAAGAAGTGTAAGGAGAAAGAGGGTCAACAGAACTCATCCCAGACACAAATGACCAAAGGGGTCCTACGATCCTGAATCACTAACTGTATCTTAGAGACAAAGGCATCACACTGCAGTTCAGTGCACAGCCTGGCCCACGTGACACCACACTCTCACGCACAGAGGAACATGCATACATACTCACAGGCTCCACCTAGGAATCCGGGAGGCACTCATCCACGTTAAACTGCATGCAAATATTTAATGCACAGATAGCGATCTATTCGTGCATACAGACATGAGCTAGCACACCAGAGCCACATCTCAGATCCCCTAACGCAGGAATCCCTGGCGTCTACCTCTCCTGTAGAGCAAAAGCCCAGAGAAAAATACTTACCCGAGGCAGCCTCCTGTCACTTTTGTGCTCAGTGAGGGCTCCCCTCAACACTCAGCACTGGGTGCACCAGCTCTACCATTTTTTTCCTGGTTCCTCCTCCCCACCTTAGTGGAGACTTAGCTGTTGAAGGAGGGGGGGGCACCAGGAAATACTGAAGCTCCAGGTGCTGAGAAGGGAGAAGATTCAAAGGAGAGGATGCTCTGGGGCACATAGTAAAGAGATAATGAGCAGCCTCTGAGACAGAACAGGGGATGCTGAGGGAGCAGGAGACAATGGCTGTGGGGGGGGGGGGGGGGGGGGGAGGGGGGTAGGCCTCACAGGAGATCATCTTGTAAACCCTTAGGGTCTCATTGTGTCTTTCTTATCTTTCCTTGCAGGTCTTCAATACGAACAACCAAGAACAACCAAGCAGTCTTACCATAAAGCTGCAATTTGAAATGAATTCCCCTCAGAAGCCAAGAGGCATTAACTGTACTATTAAAATGGAGAATACCGCTGAAGAATAGTTTCAGTAGAAGTCGTCCAGCACATGGAGAGCTTCTGCTCTCTGCATTATAGATTTCATCGCTTCTTTTAAAATAAAATTACTTGTGGGGATGAGCACTGGGTGTTATATGGAAACCAACTTGACAATAAACTATTACAAAATTAAATTAAATTAAGATAAATTAAAATAAAATAAAATAAAATTTGATTAATATGCTTTAATGCATTTACTGAAAATATTACATTTTGCTTCTAACACATTTGTAAGGCCAAAAATAATATTAAAATTTCCTTTTTCAAAAGGCAGCCTTTGCCAAAGTGCCAGATGTGATCTCTTTCATCCAGGAGTGAGCCGCACAGGGTGGGGCTGCTGGGGTCTGCAAGGGACAGAGGAAAAGGCCCTCACTGGTCCCACAGCCGATATGGAAATCAGTGAATCCTGTGCCTTGGGTAAAGGCTTATTTGGTCCACAAAATGGTACATTTTATCATTTTTTTCTTCAACTATATATTCCTATTCACGTAGTTCAAATGTGTGGATTCCAGACTCATGTGACTCACTGAGGGACAAGCCCAAAGCAAAACGTTATGAGGAAAGGCTGAGAGGCTCTGTCGGTGAATCGTCCAACTCTGGATGTCGGCTCAGGCGATGATCTCAGACTTCGTGGGATAGAGCCCCGAGTTGGGCTCTGTGCCGACAGCGTGGAGCTTGCTTGGGATTCTCTCTTCTCTCTGTCTGCTCCTTCCCCATTCGAGCTCTCTCTCGTAAAATAAATAAATAAGGTTTAAAAGATGAAATTATAAGTATAAAGTGAAATCTACCCTCAATGACAGGAAATAACACTTGACGAGACGAAATATCTAAAATCAATATTTGAAGAGCATCTGGTGACTCTGTTTCTGATGATGGCAGAGTAGCCTTCCCCCTAACCCCCCCGTAGGCCATGCTGTGACTCAGTCATGACATGGCAGTTCAGGCATTGAACACTAGGCACCATAAGGTTTGGTCCACAGTGTTTGCTGTGCCTGGCGGATGTGTCTCTCCATTATCTCTGGTAATCTCTCTCTTCCTGGGACAGGCCCCCTTCCTAAACTCTTTGAAGCAGACAGAAGGGACATAAAAAGCTCTTTCTGAGTCAGCCGGGTCTTGCCTGCCTTCAGCTCCACATTCCAAAGTGGCACACTTGGGTGGCACGTCCTGTTGCCCTTCAGTAACAAAATCCCAGCTCTGCTGATAAACTAGGTCTTACAGTCTAGTTACAACTAACTGGCTGAGATAAAATTGTCTCATCAAATTATGGTTTGCATGATAAACTTTTCCCAACTTTTTTCCAGCATTTAAATGACCTTTTGTCAATAACATATAGGCAGATTAAAAGAAAACACTTCATCCCTTTAGGTTTTGCCCTTTATGTGTGTTCTTTAAATGCTTTATCCTGGCGAGTTTCTGCCATCTTTAGTTCAAGTTTGTTTTTTGTTTTTTTTTTTTTTAAGTTTGAACTTTACCTCCAGTTAGTTAACGGTGCAGCCACTGTGGAGTTCTTTATTTCAATGTGTAACACTTGCTCTCTGCTTCTTTCTTCTCCTTCTCTGTCAATATTTTAAAATGTATATTCCTGTCCTCCCCTTAAGGACAAGTAACTTAGTGAACCCATCTGCATTCTTCTCTCTACTCCTTAGCCCGCAAAGTTAATCTACTTCCTGTTTCGTTTCTCTTTAGTCAAGAGCTTGGTTTATTGTTGAGACATTGACAGACCTAATTAAGGTAGTTGTTCACTCTTACTTGCCTTTTATCCTGAATCATTTCTTGGCTTTATTTATTTGTTTTCTTATTAAATACTATTTTCTTTTTTTATAATTTTTTAAATGTTTTATTTATTTCTGAAAGAGAGAGAGAGAGAGAGACGGTGAGCAGGGGAGGGTCAGAGAGAGAGGGAGACACAGAATCTGAAACAGGCACCAGGCTCTGAGCTACCTGTCAGCACAGAGTCCGACGCAGGGCTCGAACCCACAACCGCGAGATCATGACCTGAGCCAAAGTCGGACGCTTAACTGACCGAGCCACCCAGGCACCCCTAAATACTATTTTCAAAATAGTGTTTTGGTGAGTTTGTTTTGCAGATATTCTGGTTATTAATTGTGCTAATTAATACCAGAGAATCACTGTTTAGGTCCTTATATTAAATTTAATTTTGGCTAGATATAAAACTCTAGTTTCAAAATGACCTTGCCTTTGATATATAGGTTGGTGACAACTCCTCGAAACCACTAGCATTACATAGGGTTTGGAATTCATATTTTGAGTGACTTCAGAAAGGCTGTTTAATTCATACTCTATACATAGAGTATTACATACATTGGCCCAGTAGGGTCTAGGTCATGGCTCACAAATCAAATGTGCGAATACTTCTGTGCCAAAACATATCAAGCAACTATTAAAGTGATCCCATTCCATAAATGTTGTGATCTTGCAAGGTGGAAGCCTAGCAAGAGAGCAGTGTTATGGGCACATGGACACAGAGAATGTGTCCAACACCAAGTTCATTAGCTTGGTAGGGCTTCCAGAGCAAAGAAACCTAGAGCCTAGCTCAGTGTATGCCTCCTAAGGGCTCTCAATAAATACATTTACTCAATAAAGACATAAAATTAAGTACTAAGAGATGAATCAACACAGCTAATGAAGGACAAATCCGTTCATATTGAAAACCAGTAAGCAGGGAAAAAAAATCTACTTTCCTTCAAACAATGGGAGACACAATCTTACAAACATGACATCAGAAAGATGGAGTCCATCCTAGGAGCAGAGCCGGCCTCTGGAAATGGTGGCAACCAATGCATTTGCAGCGAGGCCATCCCCAGTACTTTCAGATAGTTACACAAATCCCACACATCAGTAGCTTAAACAAAATGCCATTTTTCTCTCCCTGTTCCTTATGCCTCCCTGAAATCTGATTACATGTGTGATGAAATCCTGAAAGAGCTTCTCATCTCCTCTCGGACTAAATACAACTCCTTTGCCAATGTCTCATTCATTTATCAAACACATAATTGGACACACCACCAAATTCTATGTCTTTTGCTATTTACAAAGTATATGTTGATTAGGGTGCCTGGGTGACTCAGTCGGTTAGGCACCAGACTTTGGCTCAGGTCATGATCTCACAGTTGGTGAGTTCAAGCCCCGCATCGGGCTCTATGCTGACAGCTCGGAGCCTGGAGCCTGCTTTGGATTCTGTGTCTCCATCTCTCTCTGCCCTCCCCCACTCGCATTCTGTCTGTCTCTCTCGAAAATAAATAAACATTAAAAAAATTTTTTTAAGTATATGTCGATTAAATCATTCCTGACCTCAGGAGGACTCTTGTCTTTTGTTGTTCCAAGTTCAGTGTGATAGCCTATGGAGACAGTCATACATGCAGAGGTGGCTACAGACGTTAGTTCATTCTCTGTGCTCTGGTTCCCATGCACACGTCTTACTGCTGCCCACTGACACTCTTCCCATTTATGCTCCACCCTTCATGCTCTTTCCCACACCATGGGTTTTGATATGTGCTACTTTTCTTTCACTTGGAATCCCCTTCTCCTGTTTCTTTTTTGTCCCTGTGTTTTCCAGTGCTGACCCAATTCCTTCTTTGGGTAAGTCCTTCCCTATGCTCCACCCAGAATATCTCAGATCCTCCTATTATTTCCTTTCATAGGCCTCTTTATTTTCTGTTAGGAAAGTTATCACAACTGTAATAAATCTATGGTTTTCTTTCCTGTTGGAAATAAACTCAGATGATAGGTTGGTTCCCTGTTCGAGGGAAACAGAAGACATGTTGGGATAGTGAGTTCATGCTCGTGTGCATTAAATCTTGTCCCAGCTCACATTTTGTTTGATTTGCCTATGGGCTTTGCAGTTACCTCCATGCAGGGCACAGAAAGCTTATCTGTAGTGAATGGGCAGGTGACCTGAGAGAAAAGCAGGAGGGGTGCTAAGTCGCTGTTCTACTACCTAGTTTCTAATCTGGGCCCAAGTTACAATCTGATCCAGGCTGCAGCCTCTACCAACCCCCCGTACATACAGTTGAAGACAGGATTCTCGGGGCACCTGGATGACTCAATCGGACAAGCATCCGACTCTTGATTTCGGCTCAGGTCATGATCTCATGGTACTTGAGTTCAATCCCACATCAGGCTTGTGCTAATAACACAGAGCCTGCTTGGGATTCTCTCTCCCTCTCTCTCTGCATCTCCCCAGCTCATGCTTTTCCTTTCTAACTCTTTCATAATAAATAAACCTTAAAAAAAGAGGACAGGATTCTTATATACGGGCTTTCTCAATTAAAAATTTTTTATTGTTTTTTTTTGTCTGTTCCAAGAATCCATATTTCTGTTAGTGGTTTTAAAGGTTTTATTGGTATCAGAGAGCAGGCATCCTGTGTCTTTTTGATACCTTGGCACAGATGGTCATGGACAGAGCCCATGTGAAGTCATTACAGGTTTACATGCCACTTTAATGGCTTTTGCGAGTACCTTAGGACAACTCAACTTTTGGTCATGCATACTGGCTTCCAAGGGTCTATGTCTCCTTGCTAAGATCCCACCTGCCTAAATCCTAAATGGGCTACATAGCCATTCCTCATCCACAGGAACATATCTGCTTTCCTTGAATGGCTTGAGCACAGAAATACCAGAGAGAGTGACGATGTGACTCCATGATACATACACCTCAACACACCATCTTCTTTACTGTCCAGCTACTTCAAAAGGAGGCTTGTGAAACAATTCCTGAACACTCAATAATTCCAAAGCACTCTCTGTAAAATACACTAGGTGAACAGGAAATCCTTGCCATTATTCTTCATGGGCTCTGCCAAAGATTTCGTCTCTGATACAGGCTCTTTTTGTTTTGTTTTGTTTTTAATAACTTTTTTATTTTATTTTTTAAAAATAGTTTATTGTCAAGTTAGTTTCCATATAACACCCAGTGCTCATATGATACAGGTTCTTAATGCTCTTGGATTCACAACTGGATGCAGACCTTTATGCTTTTATCTCTTCTGCCACGTCTCCCTTCAAATAAAGAGCACAGAAGGACATGAGTGAACATAGAATGAGGGATGGTAGTATCCAAG